CTGAGATTATCTATGCCTAACTGGGTAATCTGAATCTTTCTAAGATTGTTTGGCTAGCGTATTGATGCCTGAATGTTCATGAATCTGTTTACTTGCTTTGCCCTTAATCTCTGTAATGAATACCTCACATTTGTAGTAACCTGTGTTAAGACTTTCATTGCTAATTATAATTTGCCTCTCTACTATTGTGTCACTCCGCATGCTCACTCGATCCCATACCCCTTTAGTGTTTGCTTGTGATTTAGAACAGTTATCTCAGCCTATTTGAATTGTTGTTTTCTGATATTAGGATGAATCTTTGATACAACTGGACCTTCTTTAGTTAATTAGTCTACTATGTCAATGTCTGAATGCCTACATCTGTTATTTGACATGAATTTTCTTTCCACTCTATTCTGAATCTCTGTAATGATAGTCTTGCATATGTTATGTGTCCTAATTTGTGTTGAGACCTTTTCTATTGACTATGATCTTGCCTCTCTGATAACACGTCCCTCAGTATGTCTTTGACACACTTGATGCCATGTTCCTTCTGTGATTACTTGGCTCATCACAATACGCATTCCCCATCATGTCTAAATGTTTTCTTATTTCTCGATAATGATACTAGGATGTATACTTAGCATAATTTCCAACCATATTTCAACTTGTTTAGTATTGTGCATCTGTGCATAATAATCTTTGTCACCTGCAAACTTGTTCTTTCCCTAACTCTTTCAATATGTGACTGCCTATGTGCTAAGTGTTAAACCTGCTAAGTTTGTGACTTGTTCGATTATCTGCTATATATGCTCAATTTGGTCAGGTCTGTTTAAATTATAAGTATCCCCCAATCCCTGTCTCTCAACCTTGGTCCACTCTCTTTCACTTGATAGCTGGGCTCCTTTTTGATTTCTTATTATTAGCCGGCTGAAAGCCAAGGCCACTTAGGTTCTATCATTTGACCTCCCTAGTGTGAGCACTGCTCGAGGTCCAATTGAGACCCTTGTGAACTCTGACACACTAGGACTTGGTCCCTAGTCATTCTCTGATTTTTCTCTATCAACCTCCCTAGTGTTAACACTGCCCTGGGTTCTTGAAGCCCTTGGGAACTCTGACACACTAGGATCATGGTTCTAATTGCTCAACTCTGTTTTCACCTACTGGCTGAATCAATTGGTTTCTGGATGCCTTATGTAAATGAAGATATGAATTCTGGACTATTGTGAACTATGTGGAATTGAGAAAGAAGGCCTGGCTTGGCTGTGTGTATCTTTGGGCCTGCTATAGGCTCACTATAATTATTTTACTCTATAATTTATGCCATTCATTGGGTCTGTAATAATGTTGTAATAACAATTGGGGTATTAGTAAAATTGAGAAAAAGGGAGTTTATCTTAATACTTGCATTGAAATGGGTAGAAATCCTGCCTATAGGTGTTTTAATTTGCTCAAATATGTTTTGCTATTGTGTGTGTTAGATGACCTGCCTATAGGTGTTTTACTTTGCTCAAATATGTTCTGCTATTGTGTGTGTTAGATGACTTGCCTATAGGTGTTTACTTTGCTCAAATATGTTCTGCTATTGTGTGTATTAGATAACCTGCCTATAGGTATTTAATTTGTTTGATATATTTTGCTTCCACATGCTAGAAACCATGCCTATAGGAAATTAAATGACCAATGTCTCAATGTGCATTACAACATACTCATTAGGCACTATAGGATTCTGTTAATTTACATGCTGCCTAATCTGCAATTTAAGAATCCTTCCTATAGATCTTAATTATTGACTATAGAAATCATGCCTATAGGATCTAAAATCAGTCTTAATTATTGATTATAGAAATCATGCCTATAGGATCTAAAATCAGCCTTAATTGTGACTATAGAAATCATGCTTGTAGGATCTAAAATCAATCTTAATTATTGATTTTCTTGCTCGTTTCCTTTAAGTGCTAATGTTGAACTTTCAACACTGTGTCATTGTGACTATAGAAATCATGCATGTAGGATCTAAAATCAGTCTTAATTATTGATTTTCTTGCTCGTTTCCTTTAAGTGCTAATGTTGAACTTTCAACATTGTGTCATTGTCACTATTAGAAAACATGCCTATAGGATCCAACTAAGAAATTCTGAATATTCTTCCGTAATTATCATTGCTAATTACTGCATAAATCACCTAGATATCTTGCCTATAGGTTTAACCTCTTATAACCTATAATCAGTAGGCAACTGCGTAGTCACTTAGAAGTCATTCTAAAATGGCATCTTGCTCTGAAACTGCCTGCACGCTTGAATCCCAAGGTCACATAGAAACCATGTCTATAGGGCTTAATAGCTTTAACTTGTCTCAATTCTGAAATTGTCAAATGCCTAATTTGTTTGCGTGCATTTGTTGTCTAAGTGTGGAGGATAACTTGAGCCCTTAATTGACTTCACATGAAGTCCAACTTATTTTGTATGTCGCCTAGTTTTATCATTTTGAGCAACCTAAGTTAAGTCTAGAACCACCCAAAATAGAGGTCCAAACGCCTCCTGGACCATAGGCATGGGACGGGTAGTGCACGCATAAGGCACAGTTTAGAATCAACTAGTGCGCTTTAGGTAAAAACTTAAAGATAGTAATTGGGTTGCAGGAGATGATAGTCTGTGCCCGCTGAATAAAACAAGTAACACCCCACCTCGAGGGAGTTACGAAGTATTATTTATGTTCCACGGGGTGATCCTTTAGGCTAAAAAACTTAGGACCCCTCCCATCTTGTCTTAACGTCAATTATTTGTGTTTATTTGTAGACTTTTGATAATAATTGCCCAAACTTCTTGTCTTTCCCTCTTGTTTTTGACTAATTCATATAATTCGAGTTCGGCCGAGACCCACAATTGTGGATCTCGAGGAATGCCTAACACCTTCTCCTCGAGGTAATTTGAGCCCTTACCCGATCTTTGGTGACGCAAACTGGTTAAACCATAGTTATTTGCAAATAGGTTCCCTAACGCACCTCAAACCCGTTAGGTGGTGACTCTTTCTTTTAACACCCTTTCTTTAAAAGAATTGTCACGGGTCGAAACCCGATTTTGCGAGAAAGAAGGGGCGCGACAGGTGCGAGGGGGTGTGAGTTCATTGTTACCGTAAAAGCGGATCCCTGGTCGCAGGTGTGACTCTACAGAAGTGGAGTCTGGTCCGTAGATGCGAAGGCAGGAAGGCTGAAGGAGGACCGCAGAAGCTGAATTTTTGGCCACACCTGCAGAACCGCAGAAGTGGTCAAGTGGCCACAAGTGCGATGATCGATGGGCAGAGGGCTTGTTTACGTGCGGGGGATTTGGCCCATTTTCTTTCATACTCTCTTGGTTTGGGCGATTTTTGGAGAGCTTCGAGTGGAGATTTTTATCAACCATTGCAAGGTAAGTAATTCCCACACAATTTTAGTGAAATGCTTGGATTATATACGGATTTTTACATGAAAATTTATGGAAAATTTTGGGATTTTAAGAGGAAGACCTAGAATTGATAGTTTTGGATTTCACCATGATTTTGGAAATGGAATTAGGAATAAATTGTATATTTGAGTTTGTGGCATTATGGGTAAAGTTTATTTTCAAAAATTTTCGGAATCCGGGCACGTAGGCCCGAGGGTTGACTTTTTTGACTTTTTGAGCGGAGTTGGGAATTATTATAAATTGTTAAATTGTAAGCATTGGAGTGTATTTTGATTGATTTACACGTTGTTTGACTAGTTTCGGGACGTTTGGCTTTGGGTTAAGGTGTTAGAGAGGCGTTGCAGCCGGTTATGGAACTTCGGAATGAGGTAAGTCTCCTGTCTAACCTTATGAGGGGGGAACCACCCCTAGGTGATGTAATTGTTACGTGATACTAGTTATGGGTGCTACGTACACACGAGGTGAAGATAGTCCGTACGTAGCTAAAGCATATTTATGTCGGGGTAGACTTAGGACCTTATCATGTAATATTTGAATTATTTGAACTCATTCTACTGGCTTAATTAATTGAATTTAAAATTGAAATTGATTTAAAAATAAGTATATGTATACTAGGCTGAGCCTTATCACTTTGAGTTGTTGACGAGTTATTTGAGAAACGGTAAAGATTATATTCGCTTTGTGCTCATGTACTGTATTGTAAGCACGTGTTTCGTAATTCGGTAACTTCCTTCCTTTCTTGTGGAGCTGGCCGAATACCTCGGCAGTATAATAGATGCATCTATGGTTCGTGCCGCTCGACCCTTGGCAGTGTACATATTATTCTGGATTCGGCCAAACGACCTCGGCATAATCGTGCGTTATATCGCTGGTAGTCCGAACATTCACGAGATTATCTTTTCACTGATGCCCGACATTTTATATGGTATTCCTTATTCATTTGATATTGGAACTGGACATTTTATGAGCCGTTAAGGTAGAATACAAGATTGAGAAATTCATACTTTAAAAGAAATATTTGGAAGATTATGTAACTTACAGATTTACTCCATTATTGTTGTGTGCTTCATATCTTCTTATGATTTATTATAGTGCTTTATTTGACCTCTAGTAAGTGTCTATGTCAACCCCTCATCACTACTTCTCCAGGGTTAGGATAGATACTTACTGGGTACGCATTGATTTACGTACTCATGCTGCACTTTTGCACTAAATGTGCAGGATCTGACAGGTTCATTTGGTGATCATCTTGGCGCGTAGGCGCACCTGGTGAGGGGACTTCATGTGAGCTGCATTCCAGGCTACGCATCGCAGTCCACCGAGTTTCCATCATATTATTTATTTTATCCTGTCTTATTGACATTCTAGACTGATGTTGTATTATTATTGTACTCATTAGAAAATTCTCATGCACTTGTGACACCGAGTTTTTGGGTTATACTAGTTGATGCTCATGGTTTCGTATATTATTATCGCTTTTTATTTCATTTATAAACTACAAATGTTGTACGTCCTCGTGGATTGAGAAGTGTAAGTCTCTTTTCTTATTAAAAATTCATAGTTTTGAAAGTAATAAAATGAGTAATTAAATTGATCAATCATCATTGGCTTGCCTGACGGCGACGTTAGGCGCCATCATGACCTATAAAAGATTTTGGGTCGTGACACTACTGCTCTCCCTCACCTCCATGGCCTAACTGCTCTCTCTTGGCAGATCTGTCGCCTCTAGTGAGCAGGTCGGCCAACAACCATGGCCGCTCTTTCAATGCTTCTCTTCTTCGTCTCCCTTTCTCCATTTTGTTGATTGTTTTGTTGAATGTGCAGGTTCAAGAAGCCATCCTCGCCGGAACGACCTCTGATCTACCATATTTGGCCGTTAATGATGGTCTCTGGAAACGAGCTTCGAGCTCTGTTACTGGATCATTTTGTTGTTGCTCACCCACCAGATTTATTTTAGATCCGGTTGAAAACTGTTTTCCGGCGATCTGCCCAGAAAACGTTAAGATCGGCGATGACTATCTCCTTCTCTCTCTCTCTAATTTTTTGTTTTTGTTTATACGTAAATAATTTAAGGTTTGGACTTGAAAATCTCTAACAAGATCTTACCTGAAATTAGAATTTTGGCAACTTTTATATATATATATATATATATTCTTAGTCGTTACTACTTATTTGAGGCGTCACTTGGTGCCTATTCATGATCTTTTGTGTCATTCCTACTGCTGCTATTCTTGAAGCTTCTACAATCTTTGAAGGTTTGGAATAACTGTTTGTGACTGAAGATTTCCCTGCTGCCTGTTGCGATCTGTTGAGACCGTTGCTCATTTGCTGACTTTTGTATTTTTTGCTGCTATCTCTCTTGGTCCACAAATCTCGTCCCTATCGATTGTTTAATCAGTGTTAACAATTTGTGATGAAGTTTGATGCTTTTGGATGGATTATTAGTGTTACTGTCATTTTGTTCCCGTTGGATTGTATTTTTACCCATTTGACAGTGTGCGTCATAATTGGTAGGCACCGCTACTGTTCTTCCGGCGAAGATCATCATTGGTGCCGTTAATTTGGTGGCTGTTATTATTGTTCATAATAGGCCGATGAGAATAATATTTTGAGGCCACAAAGCCCCGAATGACTCTCCGGATTGGGCCCTAATAACGAGGCGATGATGATAAACATCAGAAAATAAAAGACGAGGATGCGATGAACCAACAACCTTGTGTTACGACCCAAAATCTATCTAGTCGTGATGACACTTAACTCAACCCGTCAGGTAAGCCCATTAACAACTATCCAATTTAAATGAGATTTATTAAGAAAAGAAATGAAAATACAACTGCTTTTATACAAGAATTTCCCCAGGGACTGGTAGCACAAATTATGAGCTTCTAAGATTAGAATTTACAAAGTTGGTATGAAATAAATACATTATCTGTTCGAAATGTACATAAACAGATTTTTATAAATTTTAGGTTACCACGAACAAGAGGCAGCTACAACCGGTCGATCACAGCAACACCAGCATCCAACATCTGCATGCAAGGTGCATAAGTGTAGTATGAGTACAACCGACCCCGTGTACTCAATAAATAAAAACCTAACCTTAGGTTGAAAGTAGTGACGAGCTGGAACACATGTCAGGGTCCAACACCAATAGCCAACAACAGTTCATAACAACATAATGGAAGTAATAAAAGAAGTAGCTCAGAGATAAAATGCTCAGTTCATTCACAGTTCTAGGAAAATAGGCATGCTTTTCAAGTATATTAGTGAAAACCCAAATCCTTTACTGAAATCACCAAATTTATGAGTAAGTTTGAAAACTGTGATTTTTCCCAAAAAATTTCAACAGGTAAATGTTTCATTTTCAAATAGCATGAGGAAAATACATCTCTATGCCTATATGTCAATATGTATGAGAAGTCATGAATGACATGATACCATACAATATGAGGAAAATGCATCTCTATGCCTGTATGTCAAGTTTGCATGTCGAATGCGATGCAACTAGGTGATAAAACCATATGCATATTCTCAGAGTATCAATTCACTCGGTCCTCCCAGTCACTCAGTGCTCACAGTCACTCAGTCCTCACAGGCACTCAGTCCTCATAGTCACTCAATCCTCCCAATCACTCGGCACTCGCGCTCGGCACTCGCACCCAATAGGTACCTGCGCTCACTGGGGGTGTGTACGGACTCGGAGAGGGTCCTTCAGCCCAAGTGCTATAATAAGCCAATCATGGCATAAATCAACAAAACATGTTGCGGCATGCAGCCCGATCCCATAAATAATCAATATCCTCACAATCAGGCCCTCGGCCTCGCTCAGCCATCAATCTCTCCAGTCTCTCGGGCTAACAATGTCATGAAAAATCAGCCCAGCAATGATGATGTGATGTATCAATAAATGGTGACAGAGACTGAGATATGATATGCAAATGAATACGTATGATTGAGTATGTAATTGCAATGTAAGCAAATAACTCAACAGCAACAATGACCTCGGTGGGTCCCAACAGAATAAACATGTGGCCTAGACATGGTTTATAACATGAATCACAACTCAAAAACTCTAGTACGTAGAGATTTCATGGTTACAGATAACATCAGGTAACAACACAGTATCACAGAAATAACGGAGTCACATTTCACACGGTGCATGCCCACACGCCCGTCACCTAGCATATGCGTCACCTCAACACCAAACACATAACACGTAATTCGGAATTTCATACCCTCAACACCAAGTTTAGAAGTGTTACTTACCTCGAACAAGCCAAATCCAATATCGGGCAAGCCAAGCAATGCTCTGAAAATGCCATCCTGCACGTACCAACCTCCAAACGGCTCGAAACTAGCCAAAAGCAACACAAATTCATCAAATAAAGTCTAAGGAAACAATTCCAATTGATAGAGATCGAATCTCTACTCAAAAGCCCAAAATCAACCAAAAATCAAACCCGGGCCCGTACCTCGGAACCCTACAAAACTCACAGAATTCGACAACCTATTCAATTACGAGTCCAACCATACTAGTTTCGCCCAATTCTGACTTCGAATCGATGTTCAAAACTCAAAAACTCACTCTATGAAACTTTAGGCAAAAATCTCTAATTTTCTCTTTCAAACTCATAATTCAATTACCACAAATGAAGATAAAATCACGAAATATAATCAAAACCGAGTGTAGAACACTTACCCCAATCCTTGTGATGAAATTTGCCTCCAAAATCGCCCCATTCCGAGTCTATAGCACAATATGTGATAAAAAGGACCAACCCTCGAATTTAAAACATTCTGCCCAGCTTCATCGCATTTGCGATAAACTCGTCGCATCTGCGACCACCGCTTCGGCGGTAAATATCTCTCTTCTGCGAGCAAACCAAACTCAGTAGCCATCGCTTCTGTGGAACCTCTCTTCGCACCTGCGCCCCGCATGTGCGGCTCTGCCATTGCACCTGCGCCATACCTCGCCCCTGCGGCCCAAGGCACTGCTTCCGCAGGTGCGGTCCATCTCACGCATCTGCGGAGCCCTGCTCCAGCTCCATACCCGCTCATGCGATACCTTTGTCGCTTCTGCGACCATCGCACCTACGCAATTTCAACCGCAGGTGCGCAACACCAGTACCAGCAGCTACTAACAACCAAACACAAATTGAAAAATGGTCTAAACCTCGCCCGAAACTCACTCGGGCCCCTCGGGACTCCCGTCTGAATAGACTAACAAGTCCCATGACATAACACGGACCTACTCGAGGCCTCAAATCACACATAACAATAACGAAACGATGAATCACACCTCAAATCAAACTTAAATGAACTTTGAACTTCCAAAACTGGTGTCGAAACATATCAAATCAACCCGGAATGAACTCAAATTTTGCACACAAGTCCCAAATGACATAACGAAGCTATTCTAATTCCCGGAACCACAATCCGAATTCGATACCATCGAAGTCAACTCCCGGTAAAACTTATGAACTTTTCAAACCTTCAAATTTCCAATTTTTCGCCACTTAGTGCCGAATCATTCTCGAAATATCCAAATGTAAATCCGAGCATACGCCCGAGTCCAAAATCACCATCCGGACCTAACAAAACCATCAAAGCTCCATTCTGGGGCAAATTCACAAAAGTCAAATTTAGTCAACTTTTCCAACTTAAATCTTCAACAATGAAATTCATTCTTCCATATCGATCCCGATTAACCTAAAAACCAAAACCAACGATTCACACAAGTTTTAATACATCATACGGAGCTACTCATGCCCTCAAACTACCGAGTGAAATGTAAATGCTCGAAACGACTGGTCGGGTTGTCACATCCTTCCCACTTAAATATACGTTCGTCCTCGAACGTGCCAAGAGTCGTTCCAAAGCTATCAAATCGACATGTAACCTTACCATGCACATACCTGGGGGTGATCCCATGTCACCCTATTCCAAATAGGCCTGACAACGCAACATAACTTGAGATCATTACTCCAACCTTAGCCCGTAAACCATAGAATCCGATTCCCAACATCTGGAATTTCCATAAGATCTGAATCTCGCATCTACACACTGTATAAGTATGAACAAGCTATATTAAGCCATAACCATAACCCAAGATGGAATCACATGATATACCATATAACTCAAATACTCATAGCAATAATTCTGACCACAATAACTGCTCGAAGCAAACTTAGTACCGGTAATAAACCTCGTATCATACAAAACCTCGTTCTAAAACCTTCGTACACTGCCAATGATCGAAGAAACATGTAGAAACTCATAACTACTTATCAGATCAACAAGTCATGGAGCTCCCTCTCCTTCCACTACTAAAAAAAACTAGTTTTAGAGACAGACAAATTCTGTTGCTAAATAGAAAAATCCATCGCTAATCTCATTTAGCGACGGATTAGCGACAGATTATCAAGAAATTCTACTAGCTACGAGCGATTTAGCGACAGATTAGCGATGACGTTCGTAGCTAATTCCAATTTTTTTTGTAGTGTTTGACAAGAACTAAAGCCAATTTTCTAAGCCAATTAGCTACATTATCCTTGTAAATATACCACAAACAAATATGATAGCACCCATTCTAAGTCCAATGACCTTACTTTATCAAATATAGCCGCCCTATTGACATGTCACACCAATTCAACCTAGAGCCATAAACCGTGCAATCCGTGAACCAATAAGCAACAATTCAAATATACCCAAAAAAATAGAAAATGACTCAAACGAGAGAACCATCCCTCAAGTTCAACAAGTACCACCACAACCGCAATGATACAAAGCCATCTTACATAGTAGAACCAAGACACACGAATCTAACACAAAGGATCATACCTCAATGTAACTCCCCTGCAATGCGTGACCCCATCCAAACACAGGTCCATATGAAATACCTCAATCCACCATCATCAAAATCAACAACCACGCGCAATTTGATGCCTAGTACCAAAAGTGCATGACTGTAACCACCGAGAAGCAAACAACAACATACATCATAACCGGACAAAGACCATAACCAAGGTGCAATCAACTATTACGCACCCCAATAACCATTCCGCTCGAATTTTGCTATAAGGCCCCAAATAGAACCGCACCATATGTGCATATAACCAACAAATCACAACCCCTCGTAGTATAGAGGATCAAAACATAGATCAAATCAGAACACGAATAAGTTCCACTCTAACTGAATGGCACATTCCTGAACAATAGTAGTACAGAGTTAACCAATCCGACCCGGTGTAGAATACACATCCTTATTGGGCCTACCAATGGACCCCAAATCAACTCTGGTCACCCACAAATAGATAAATAACCCTCTGAAAATTCACAATGACAGGATAAAAACACACACTATTCTCTGGCTAGCCTTGGCCACATTTTCACAATCCACAACCACGAAACAATCTTCTCCTGAAAACTCCTGGTCTCCAAATTCATAGAACACACGAATCACCATATCTGCTCCCAACTCCATCGCCCGACTGTCTAACACATCTCCTATACGTGATCATCCCACAAGGAATACTTCCATAATCCTTCCGTACCACATAGCAAAATATGAATATCAGCAGTCGATCAATCACGCGAGTACCGCAATACTAATGAAGCTTCCGTAAATCAACAGTCAGTGCGCCTTCTGAAATGCGCACCCTTCTTAGGAATTACCAAGCAATTTATAACATTCATCTATATATCTAAAACTGTCCATGCTATCTAAAATTCATGACTTTCCCTCCAAATATGAACTGTGACCTTGCACATGCAAAACTCAATCCAACACAACACACCGCATCTATCATGCTAACATATGGAATGTACGAGAATCTCATAATGAACTCTAAGTCACAAGCAAAATACATACCCGATCAGTCAGAAACCTTCCATCTCATCTCATCCAGGAGAAAATCGCAATACGCAACTGTCACGACCCAATTTCCCCTCTGTATGACGTCGTAACGGCACCTAGTCTCTACGACTAAGTAAGCCTAA